CCAGAGTCTAAGCCAGCCAGTATGTGTAGCATATGTGATGTGCAGTCGGTTTGTGTTTTGCTTTGTTTTTCATGGCTGGATTGCCATCTGACAGTAAAATGCAAGACAAATTCAGTCAAAAAGTCCGCGTCATGTGTTTTTTCAGGCCTATATTGACAAGCCATCGTTGTCTCACCCCTTTGCCCGCGTGCGCCGTATCAGTATAGCACGCACATACGTATATATCCATATCCCAGCTACGTAGCACAAAGTCGAGGCCATCCACACGTCACACGTCCATATTCATTCGAAAACAAAAATATCGTCTGATGTCCCTGATTCTGACACTCTGATGCGAAGTGGACACCTCGCATCGTGTTTGTATATGTGGATCTGTGTCGCGAGTCCCGTCTATCCCTCCGACAAGGTGTGTACGGACCGGAAGGAAGAGCAGACAGACAGGAGGATGCATACATGGAATGAATGGAGGTGTACCGACCGTCAGCCGCACACACAACCGACCTGTATGCGGGTGTCCCCGCATCCCCGTGACCACCGCCTCCGCGTATGTGTGCAGCCGACGGGCGTGTCCACCGTGTATGTGAGCACAAAGCGTTTGTCCTGCTCGTGCCCATGTGTATCTCGATGGATGTGTTGCGTGTCTGTCGATGGGTGCGTGCGAGTGACTGTCTGCCTGTCTGACTGCCTGACTGCCTGTCTGCCTGGATGGATGGATGTGTGTATGGATGGATACATGGATGGGAATCGATGGGGGCGTATGGGAAGAAGAGCGTTGAAGAAGGGAACCCTTGCATGATGTGATGCATGCCGTCTGTAGCCGACGCACATGTCAGTGGAGCAGCCCAGGTGCTGCAGGCAGCCAGACATGTATGGGTGCATTGCAGAGGTGTTTGCCTTGAGCTCATCAGCTGAGAACAGACGAGGATAGAGCAGCCCGAGGTGCCTGTAGCGCAGCTGTGCTTTGTGCCGTGCTTGTACAACCTAGCCAGCGCTGTAAGGACGCCTCGAGCGTTAGAACGGACACCACAGGATTGGAGTTTCCCAGCCTTTTGGCTTTGGCAGCCCTTTGTGGCGTTGTTGCGTATCGTGATTGGACTCTGCGTGCTGTTTCTTTGCTTCTCAACGGGTTCCCTCCCCTGTGTCTGTTCCCACTGTCGCTGAGGACATCACCTGGACATCGTCACTCCCCTCCCCCACGCCACGTCATCATCCACACCATCATCCCCCTATCCATTGCCACTAGAAGCCAGTCACCCCTCTCTCTCACACCACACTTTACCCGCACGTACAGAGAGGGCGGTGGCGCGTTGGTGCTCCTCTTCTGTCTGCTTGTCTGTCTGCCTCTGTCTTGTCACACATCTCACACACCCAGAGAGGCACAGAGGAGGATACGCCAACGTATCAACTCACCGAGAGAGAGACAGACGGACAAATACTACGAGCACAAAGCACCAAAAAGAGCTCGGCATAGAGACGTACCGACATACGGCCTCACACAGCAGGACTAGCGAATTAACGCACGCGAGAACAATGCACCATGTGTGTATCTCAATTCATGTATACAGAACCCATACATCTACGAGGGACCAATGAAATAGCCCTATAGACAGATACAATCGTCACTTCGAGCTGTGTAGATGACTTTGATAGGACCGTTAGCTGTAGGTGAGACACATGATTGCTTGTTGCTTGTTCTGTGTGAGTGCTCATGAGTGAGTGAGTGAGTGAGTGATATCGATGGGTAATGGCTGGCCATGGGTGATTGAATGGATGGATGGCTGCAAGTGGTGAATCAGTGATAGCCGGGCGACCACCGGCCCGGCTCATTTTTGCTCTTTGTGCTGCTATTGTCGATAGCCGGTACGAACACATTGTCGAGCGCCGTCTACAAATAGCTGATTCATACCTATGTTCAGCTTGATCAATCAATCAATCATCCATTCACCATTGCAAAGAGGTCTCAGAAGTGAATGACTCATTCAATCATTCGTTGACTTGTTTCTCGTGAGAACGTGTTCTAGCACGATTTCCTTGACGTCGTTGACGAAGACGCATTTCTCGAGCTTGCGGCAGTAACGATTGATCCAGTGCTCCGAACGAAAAGGGCCCATCCTCACAGCCACAGTAACTGAGTCCTGCATCGAACAGCGGAAGAGAGCAGGGGCAATGTCTGTCTGTCTGTCTGTCTGCCGCAGTGATGAATCACCTGTAAGTTGTCTGTGTTGGATTTGTTTCCCGCGGTGTCAGCGTGGTCTGGGTGCTGAAAGTGACCGCCTCCTGATGGACGCTTTTTCCTACACATCGCCCGTGTACATGATCGCATTTACGCCACGTACACCATTTGGGGTAACGGCTGGCATGAGGCTCTTCTTGTTTTTTGCGGCTCTGGGCATGCTTGCCTTCGCGGCCGCACAGGAAGCCAACGGTGTGACACAGCACACGCAGGTCGACGGTGACGTGATTGACGGAGGCGATGAGACTTTCTTGGCCGTCCCTGAGCAGCCATCAGGACCAGGACAGAGACCAACGGAAAGACAAACGGGGAGACCACCACGAGACTGCATTGCTGACTATGCCGACAAGAGGTGTGAGAGGACGTCAGACTGCTGCTCGGAAAAGTAAGCGGGAGGAAGGGGAGAGGTCTGATGTGGATGCCTATGTGTGGGGCCTTGGTGGGCATGGTGCAGCTGTGTGGATGGCCAGTGCCGTAGGCCTGGAGACCTGAATGATGTTGGCGAGGGATGCAGATACGATAACGACTGCTATTCCGACGACTGCGAAGACGGCACATGTAAGCCCCCAAATGCACACACATACGAATCGCCCTTCCATCCCGCATGTGATTTGTGCAGGCGCTGGCGACGACGCTACCCGTTGTGTTAATGACAATGGCTGCCCCGACGGCTACGCATGCTGCGGAGCTGAGTGGGGTGCTTGGCAGTGCGTAGGCGGCGCTGTCCCAGGCGGCGCTGGCCCCCGTTGCTATTGTGAGTACAGACACAATTGGTTGGCCACACACACGCCGGGCCAGTCCAGTCACTCAATGTGTCCATGTGTGTGGCTTTCAGGCTGTCGGCGTGAGGGAGGAGAGGGACCAACGGGGAGCCCACCACGAGACTGCATTCCTGACCATTTCGGCAGAAGGTGCGAGAGGACGTCAGACTGCTGCTCGGAAAAGTAAGCAAGAGGGAGGGGAGAGGTCTGTATGTATGTGGATGCCTATGTGTGGGGGGCCTTGGTGGGCGTGTATGTGTGTGTGCAGCTGTGTGAATGGCCAGTGCCGTGAACCCGGAGATCTGCAGCAGATTGGCGAGGGGTGCCGATACGATAACGACTGCTATTCCGACAAGTGCGAAGACGGCACCTGTAAGTTTCCCAATGCACACACATGTCACACGGATCACCCTTCGCCATCTCAATCCCTCCTGTGCTGTGTGCAGGTGAAAGGCCCGATGATGATCCCGGCAATGATTGGGACACTGGTGAATGCATTCACGACAACAACCCGCACTTTAGTTGCAACAGGAATTCAGACTGCTGCTCGGAGAAGTAGGGCCAGACAAACGAGACAATGGAGGAGGGGGAAAGGGAGACATGGTGATGCGTGTGTGAATGCTTTCATGTGTGTGGGGCATTGGTGTGTATGTACGTGTGTACAGCTGCGTGCAGCGCCGATGCCGCCCTCCCGGAAATCTGAATGATGTTGGCGAGGGGTGCCAAGACAATGACGACTGCCATTCCGATATCTGCAGAGACGGCACCTGTAAGCCCCTAAATGCACGCGCGGGCGTCATCGTCTCTGCCTCCCCCCTTCCCTCCCGCCCGTGATGTGTGCAGGCGCCGCTACTGTTTGTGTTAATAACAATGACTGCCCCGACGGCTACGCATGCTGCAGACCTGGGTTCATACCCGGTGGTTGGCAGTGCAACGTAGGCGGCCCTGGCCCCCGTTGCTATTGTGAGTACAGACACACAATTGGTTGGCCACACACACGCCGGGCCAGTCCAGTCACTCAATGTGTCCATGTGTGTGGCTTTCAGGCTGTCGGCGTGGGGGAGAGGGGCGCCTATAAACGTGGTGGGCATATCCCTCCCCCCTGTGTGATGTGTCGCGTCGCGTTGTGTTGTGTTGTGTTGTGTCGTGTCGTGCATTTCACATGGAGGGGGTGGTAAGCTCTTTGCATTCGTTCGTGTTGATTTGTACCAGAAGATAGAGCACACATCGTGTAGTCTGTTATTTTTCTCTCCTGCCGAAGTGACCTGGCAGACTTATTTGTGTCGCTCTCGTCTGCGCATGCGATTGTCTGTGTTTCTTTCCTCGTCTGCCTGGATGTAAAGGCCAAACACACGACTGTCACTTTTCCCTTTTCGTTGTTGGCACTTACGACCAGTCAGACAGTCAGTCAGTCGGCTGTGTGCGTGTTGCGTTGTGTTTCGGTGTTTGCATGTGCCGCCGAAAAGGGGCGCGCTGCAACGCGGATTCCTTACGCGATACGGGGGGGTGAGAGGGGGCCAATCAATCCACTCAATCCGCAATCTGTCCATCGTCAGGCGCATGCTGGTACAGATTGCATCGGTGGATGGATGGATGGATGAATGGACGGGGGACATTGGGTGGGACAGGTGGCTGGCACACACAGACAATGAATGAGACAACATGCACCAGACACGAGAGCACCTATCAAAAATGTGAAGGCCGCAATCTTCTTAACCAGGCTTTCTCTCACTAGTCGAAAACGGACATTGAACCTCGGCTGAAGCAAGACTAAGTGAGTCCACCATCAAGCAAGCGCGTCATTTGCAATGAACCAAAACGTGATGAATAAGCAGATGACTTTTTTGTTTGCAATTTGAGACCTCACCAAACGGATCATCTCTTTGTTCTCGCGGTGATTTGTGCCACTGACTTGATGCAACCAACACACCAATCAGTCGGTAAGCGTCTCGTGAAGCAAAACTGTTCGGCTAACGGAGGCAAACATCCATGTGCCCACAACAAATAGTAGTCTGCCTCTCACGCCTCATGACGCACGCCATCCTCCTCATGTCGGTCGACATGAGTGCTTTCGCGCAGACCGGTCAGTCGTCGGCGTCTGCGGGAAAAGGTCATGCACAAGTACGAATCAAAACACAGTCAGTCAATACAGCACATGTCGACGTGCGATAGAGAGGCATGCACGCACGCAGTGAGTGATACGAATCAGTGGGCAGTGGGCAGGCAGATAGGCAGCAGACAAATGACACGACTGACGAAAAAGTGACACAAGTATGTACTGACCGACCACACACACACACACCCGTGGCATGCATAAGTACCCGTGCAGACATCCCATGCATTGCGACACACCAACCACAAGGGCCAGCCAGGCGACACGAGCACGAGAAACGCCAGACACCGCCGACGGACGGACAAAGCTCGCTACTTGCCTGCCTCCGCCTATCTAGCCCCTACCGTAGGCATTCACACGCTGCTAATTATGCCCCTCCCTCCCTATGAGCTGATTGATACACATGAAACACTCAGACAAGTACGTACGTACGGATGTGCATGCTGTCGCTAGATGTCGAATTCCGCATCGAAGTCTGACGGCGGCCTCTTGCCGGCCCACTTGATGTCTGTACCCACATGCCACGTGTAGACCTGAACGAACGACAGACAAATGACAGCCATTGTGCACAAAGGTACCGGCCGCTAGGTCTATCGGCACCGACCTTTGTGCAGTTGTCTGCAAGTGGTTCTATGTCGTATTTGCTGACATTCGTCTGCTTTAGGAAATCGCCCTCCAGACCGCACGTCTTGCTCTGGGGGTTGAATAGCACGGGGGGGTCCTGTAGGAAGTGCCTCACATGCAGCCCAAACCCTGCTGTGTCAATCGGATACGCACGAAGCTCCTACAAACACACACACACACACGCGACGCGCAAACAGAGAAATGAGCATTGGCCGATTTTCGTGTATTGCTCGCTCGCTCACATTCCATGCGCTGTATCCCGTGATTTTGCCGGTCGTCGCGTTGACTTCACACCGCTCGGCTATCCTCTGTCCTGACAGACCCACTGGCCATGTGCCGACGTTGCGAACCTTCCGCAGCTCGTCCAGGATCCGCACGTCATACGCATTGTCGTCGTCAGCGAAATACGCTACACCGTCCTGCACGAGTGGAAGCATGCGCCAATGGGCCTCACCCTCGCGTGTCTGTTCGCCCACCTCGTATGCCTTCCTCAGATCTGCGTCGGTCTCGTTGAAGACGATATGCCGAATGGCCCATATGCCCTCGTTCCTCTGCTCGCTGCCTTTCACGTGGAGGCCAGCGGATGTCTTGACGTGGCGATGGGACCAGTGTAGCAGCGTGCTCTCATTCAGCACCCTCTCGACTTTAGCTGTCCTGTTGACGCTGTCCTCCACCACGATCATGTGCACATTGGCCGACAGCGCGAATGTGTTGAACAGCCGCGTCAGGTCCAGACGCTGCGTGACTCGCCTGTACGTCGGAGCGACGACGAACACCCACCGCAGGCCGGGCACCCAGTGATGGGAGGGGAAGAGGGAGAGCGAATCAGACTCACGGAGGGCGTGACGGGCGGTGAGGTGAGGGGCACGCTCTTGCCTTCCTCTCATGGCAGCACGAGTCGTTGATGAGTCAGCCGAGCTGCTGAACACCTCAAGATGCGCCGTTCTCGAGGTGGCGTGCTTGTCGCCATCCAGCATCACGCCCATACTCGATAGCCGCGTCAGCATCACGGGAAGGGAACCGCACTCACTTGAGACAAATGAAAAGTGCCGGAAGAGGTACAGCGGCGCAAACACAAGCAGCAAGAGGGCGGGAAAAGCACAGCGCACGATGCCTGGCCGCATTAATCAGTTGTACAATGCCCTGAGCAAATTTACAAAGTCCCGCACAGCCGTTGCTGCCCTTTCACCCTGTCCCAGCTATCTCGTCGAACGACGGCAAGTGGACTTCTCGCGACAAGCTCCCCCTATGCAGCATGGACCACTCTCGCCTCGCCGTGTCCCCCCTTTTTTCCGCCCATCTGCTGTTCGCAGCTGTATGTGTCATCGCAATCTTCTACACCTCTTTCATCGCTATTGGGTTCGACTCGCGCCCAAGAGCAGCTTCGCTCATCGACAGTGTCATTCCAGACACCGCAGCGTGCTCACTGGAGGCTGATCTGGACCAATTCAGGGAGAGGAATCTCCTGCCATTGATCAAGACCAACACGTCATCCTCTCAGCAATTCTACTGCGTGCGGGAGTCGAGCTCACCAAGTGCTGTCAAGGGGTGCGGCGAATGCAGTGGCCCGCCAAGTGTTGCTCTCCTCTTCCTGGTGAAAGACAACGTGCCGCTGGCTGCCCTTTGGGAAGAATGGCT